CGACACAAGTTAGTAAAATTTACAAGGTGTATTTGGAACTTTGGATATGAATTGAACAGTAACATTTCATTTCCACAGTGAGAAAAGCTAGAATGTCAAGTCCTGTGATCAGACGGTGTGACTACATGGAACGAGGACTACAGCTGCTCTCTTAAAACCCTGCAGCTCCCCTCTCAGCCCAGACAGTTGAGGTATTTTTGAACCACCATGACATCAACAGTGTCTTTGCTTTGGAAAGTGGGGGTTTAGGACTTCTAGTGTGAAGTCTCACCTTTGGACGGTGAGTGAGCAAGACAAGTGTATCCACAATGCCCAAGAACCATCAATAGATGTGCATGGACCCGTCTCATCAGTATCAGAATCAACACAGTCCCTCCAAGTGGGCACTTCTGGAGAAGCTCATATGGCCAACAACTCCCTCAGTCAGTGTCACCAATGTCAATGTCAGGAAAGCTTAAGGGGAACAAAATTACAGAGGGAGTCCTTAACATAAAAATTCAGGCCACCCCTGCTTCCTAGTTCTAGCACAAGGCGTTTTCTACCAAATTCACTACATGCTGTCGGAAGAGAGAGTTATAGCTACCTCTGTCTGAAGACTGCGAGCTCAAAGCCAGTTTTGTGTGTCCTCTCTGGATTTTGTAACCCCATGCACGGAGAGTACTAGCTGATGGTTTCTAACACAAAGCTAGTGGGTACTGCAGAACTCATGCTTGCTGTGACAGGCTTCACAATTTCCACTAATCCCTTTTGGGGCTTTAAGTCCTAAAACGAAGAACGTTCTGTTTCCTTAGAGAGGTAATTTCAGCAAAAAGCAATGCCCTAGGTGTTTCAGAATGGTGCATGTGTTACCAGGTGGAATAGCAGGAGGAAAACAATTTAGAAGTTACTCCTGAGGAAGAAAAAAAATGAAAATGGCCTTTCTTCTAAGGTCTTAGAGAAAAATAAAAGTAGGACATAGGAGTAACAATTACATACACGGAAGGGGCTTTTTGCAACTGGTCACCATTCTCGCGAGAAGTACAGATTAGACTCCTGTTTGAGACAGTATCCCAACTCCTCTTGGGGGGCCTGTGGACTGACATGGGCTTGCACACTGTTTCATTCCTGTACTGGCTCTTTCATGATCAGACCATCACTGGTTACTTGATGGTGTCACTCTCTCGTAGGGCCTCCAAAGGGCCTCTGAGGACAAATGGGTCCTCAGCCACCAGGGAGTACATGAGCAGAGGAAAAGCAGAATCTCCAGACAAACTTTGGATAGAAACCCCCTCCTTGACAAGTCTTGCTCCAAAGAACATGACAGTAGGGTGCTGGCCTTGGCCCTGGGGGCGAACTTGAGAATGCTTCCTTTGCTCTCTTCTGTAGAAAATTAAGGCCATCTCTGGACTGCTCACTAGGCCTGAGGCTTAAATCCACAAGTGGACTGCCAACTGCCATCAGGACTCTGTGAACAGACCCAGCCCTGGCCTCAGACACATTTTCTGATTCTCAGCCTCTCTATGTAAGTACATGTTCTCATCTGAGGCGCAGAAGAAGGCAAACCTGTGGCTGACTGCAGTGGAATTCCCTCTGTTAGCTTGGGCACCTGGTAAAACTTGGTGGGAAGGGGGACAGTAATTTCCTCCCATCTCTAGGCAGGTTCTTCGATGGACATCACTTCTCTTCATAAAGCAGAGAAGGATAGTCCCTCGTAGGATAGACTTCCAACAGGCATGAGTTAAAGGATGTCTAGTGTGTCAAGCCTTTCAGCAGAATAGAGGAACGACCTTTCTTTGAAGGAGTCTGCGTTTGGTTTCCCAGTAATTACTGGATTTGTATCCTGACAAACCTACAGCTTCTGGAGGAGGATGGGTTGCTTCGTTGGACAACTCCTTTTCCCCTCTGTTTATTTAAACAGGATCTGTATGACCAGTACATGGGATTTGTTGCCAAGAAGTATTGGATTCTTCACTTAATACTATCAGTCAGTTCTTCTCACTAGTTCACGTGGCCCTACTACTCAAACTGAGTGAAACTTGGAGCTGAGGTTTTACTATTTAGATTAGATAGACACAGAAAATCATTGTGTTTGGTTGCTGAAAACTTTAGAGTGGCTATAGATAATATTGTATTGTCTGCAACTTGGAGTGTAATCTGTTAGCTTCATGCATAGGCAATGAAGCCCCGGCTCTAGCTTTCTCAAAGTCTAGCCTTCCCTGATTCACACATTTATCATTTCCCATCATTCCCCTCCCAAGGAGAACCAGCCAGCTCAGCCTGACATTCAAATAATTCTGCCTTTCCACCATTATTTCTTACTGCTCCATCTATAAATCACGCGGAAACCATAAACTCTAGTCAAATGAGTGCCTTGCTTTCCCGTGAATGAGGTGCCCTACAAATTCTCAGTCAAGGGACAGATGTCAGCCACAATCTACACTTCACTCACGCTGGTCCTCTGCTGGGCATGCCTCCTTTTTATTTCTGCCTCCTAAAATTTTGCCCACTCCATAAGGTTCAACACAAGGGCTGCACTCTTTACAATCTTTCCAATGGAAAGTGGTCTTTTCCATATTTAAACTCTCACGGTGACTCCCTCATCTCCTCTCTCATCTCCACGTTCATTCTTTATCAACACATCATATTTCCCCTATTTCTGAAGTACTAGATTGTTGTCTTTCTTGTCATTGTAGCAATATATTCCATAGCACAAAACAGGCACTCCACGAATAATTGTTGAGTATCTATTTCACTTTTCTCCTATTCATTTATTTATTCATCCACCCAATCACTAACTATTTATGGACTACCCACTACATGCCAGGCACACGTAGCAGTAAAATCTGGCTTTGATGCAAATCTGTGGATTTCAAGGTGCCTCCTCATTGGCAAATTGAGCAAAGCATATCAGAGTTCTGCCTTTGTGTGCCAAACACACTTCTAGTTTTGTCTTGTCCTTTTTTATTTCTATTTTTATTTGCCCTGAGTTCCTCACTAAATTTCAGTTTAAAAATTAAAGTAACATATGTACTTTAATAGCCATTTCAAATTCTTTTGAAATGAGGCAGAGTACCAATAAATAAGTAGAATAAAAATGTAAAAAAAAATCAAGTAATTGGTTTCAAACCATAAGTCTCCACAATGACACCTCACTTGAAGAGCTCTAGTTATAGAGAGGAATTCTAAAAATGTAGATCTTCCCTAGACGCCATTCAGGGGGACTAAGTTTTTAAGATAATTTCTTATTAATGAGTCTTATTTTTAAAGAGGGTTTTGCTGTAGGGTGTGTACAATCACCAGAGAGAGAGAGAGAGACAGACAGTGGGAGGGAAAGTGAGAAATCACTCCCTGGGGGGATGGCCATGCCACAATCCCTTCTCCTCTATTCTCCTTCCAGGATTTTGGGCATGCGCACACATGTGCCTGGTGTGATTTTCAAGCCACCGGGTCTGTGGTCATGTGGGAGTCCAGCAATGTAACCACTACACCATCTGCTGGTCCCAGGAGATCTTATTCTTAATGTGTTCTCATTAACGTGGTGTCAAGAAGCCTGTTAGGAAAGCACTAAAATGTCACTCTAATGGTTGGTGGCATCTGAAAGCTGCATTGTAAAATCTGGGACTGTTTTGTAGAAGCCAGGAACCGTGAGGAAAATCATGTCTATGTCCTTAAAAAACCTTTTGTATCATATTGATGTTTTTGAACCAAGTTTGTTAGAGAGATAACCTATCACCTTCCAAAAATTAAAGAGAGCAAAAATGAACAAAACACAATATCTGGGGACAAAGGTTGTTGAAATTAGCGAGGTTCCTAGGATCTGCACAAAATCCATTCCAACAGTATTAACCAAAGCATGTGCTCTCTCCTCCCATGCTGCAGAAATTGATACCTCTGCCTTCGGACTATTGCTACTGTAATACCTGAACCTGGCTGGCCAAGGGAAGCTCTTTCACTCATGATTAGATTTTGGTATTTTGCACTCAGATCTCCCTTGAACGTATGTGATGAATACAACCCCACACCGTCTAGCTGGATGCGTATCAAGCTTAACAGATGGTTCTTGAACCAGGAGGACTTGCTGAGTCCTGGAGGCCCTTGCCCTCACAATGATTATTAGTCATTGGTTTACAATTCACCCCCAAGGATGATTTCACATACTAGGTACAGTAACTTCACCGTTAGTGGAGAGGAAACAGCATGTGAAGCACTACATTCAAGGGACAGAATGACCTTGGGACACTAGAGTTCTAAACAATTGATATAGGGGACCGAAAAGAAGATCTAGAGAATTGTAGCGATTTGAACTTAGTGGTATACGTTGGCTATGGAATACACAATTTATTAAAAACATATTTTAAAAAATCTAGTTTCAATGAATCTTTAGAGGTTACGTTAACGCCCAGCGCATCCGTGGGGTTCAGCTGTTTTGTTTATATTTATCAGGCTCCAGTGCCTGTGAGTCCCCACAGGCAGGCATTCCACTTCTTTCATTCCCGTGCTTAACACTGCTATATTCTCAATGAGTGCACATCGAATTAAAAACATGGACTTTCGTCCCCTCCCCATAACCCTAAACAAGGCCGAGATGACTTTAAAGAAACAATAGACTCAAATGTGAGTTGATGTGTTCTGGAAAACTTGTGGCAGAATGATAAGTCCAGGGAGAGGGCAGGAATGTGCTGCTTTGTCCTTTTTTCAGGAAGGTCTCTGTTCAAACTGTGCCTTCATATAACATGTGAGACCGAAGAGCAGAATTTATACCCAATTTATACCCAGGTGCTTCTTTCCCTGTCCCAAATTCTCTCATCTATCCTGTCTCCATGAATATTCTTTTTTTTAGGTGTTTTTTTTTTTTTTCCATAGAGTGAGTGAGCTCACCAGAGACAAAGATTGAGAGAGAAAGTGGGAAATCACCCCCTAGGAGGATGGCCACACCACAATCCCTTTCCTCCATTCTTCTCTGGGGATTCTGGGCACATACTCACATGTGCCCAGCGTGATTTTCAAGCCATCGTGTCTGGGGCTGGAACTGCAGTCAGCCATGTGGGAGTCCAGTGCCTTAGCCACAATGCCACCTGCCAGCTTCCAGGAATATTCTTTAAAGAACCTCTTCAATGGCCCAAATTTAGACTTTATCAGGGAGATATTTCTCTGAGCTTTAGTGAAACTGCTCTGGGAAATAACAGAAACATTACATCTCTAGAAGTGAGCTCCCACCAGGGCGGAGGTTCAGATGTGAAATGCGATGCCGTGGAATGCAATGAGCCAGGCACCTGAGCTTCAGCAGGTTTTTTGTTTTCAGTGTAGCACTCATCAATCAAGTGGCTGCAGATCACACACACACAAAATACAGAATTTATCCTTTTAGGATTATGAAATAGAATTTGCAACGTGATCTCAGTGGCTGGGTCACTTCTCCTCATCAAGACTTCTATCTGATCAGAAAACAAACAGCTTACTTCATCAAGGCATATCAGCGCCGTGGGGTCATGCTCCACCTCGGTCTCGCATCATGTCAGCAGGAGCTTAGAGTCTGGGGTAAGAGAAGGCATGAGAGAGAGGCAGCTTCTGCCAATGCCTTCACTGCAAGAGATTTTTTTCCCTGGGCCTTTAGGTAGAGCTTTGTGGGGTTTCTTACCGTCCGACTGGGTCTGCATGACTGCTGTATGGTGGATGAAATCTTTGGGGAAATGGGCTCAGAGTCCCTAACCTCTGCTGGCTCCTGAAATCACAGTTTGGAAACTGTGAGGATATTGGTGAATAAAAAGAAGCATGTGGTTTTTCCATGATTTTTTGGGGGGGTGTAATTTTGGGACAAAATGTTGCCTTGTGAGGAAGGGCCCATGTCCTCCACCCCACTCTTACCTGGTGGAAGAACTCTCAGCCACCCGCTGAGAACAAAGCCTTGCCCTGTGGTCTCAGGTGGTTGGAAGGCTGCCTGGTGCAGGCCCTCACGCCCACCTGCTTTGGCACATCTCCAGGGGGGAGCTGCAATCTTCATGGGGCCCAAGTAGTTTGCTCCTTGCTTCTTGGGATTTCAATAGGAAGCAAAAAGTTTCCACCGGCAAAGCAAAGGCCTGGGAAACATTTGCTACCATCAACTCTGGTGGCTGGATCTAAGATGTAATTCACTAGCCTCTTGCTTAGTTTTTATTATTTATTTTTTTTCAGTGGGATCAGTTAGAAGACCTGGGCTAAGTCCTTTGACTGACAGAACTATCCTGAAGAGCAGAAGTAGCAGATGACAGGCTATGACTGGGGATTGACTTTGGGGAAGGCCGGATTTGTGAAGTGAGAGCCAGAAATGTTTCCCCCTTCGGGCCGCAGGTTAAGTTCCCGAACCGCAATCGTCATCTTTCCTACTCTGGCGCGTGTACTCCTACTCTGGAGAGTAATCTAGCTCCTCGTTCGCAATCAGGGCCTCTGAGTTGTGTTTGTGTTTGCTTTTGCTCTTCGCTTTGCTACTCGTCCGGCTGTTTGCCTTCGCATCTGACATCTGCTGGTAATAGAAGCCTTTGTCTTCGGCGGGCCCGCCCCAGGCCTGGCTCTCGCCCTCGGTGGCGTAGGAGAAGCCTTCCTCGGTGGAGAAGGGGTCGTCCATGTCGTAGCGCTGGTAGGTGCTCTGGTGCAGGGCCTCCTCGCGGGCACTGATCTCCAGGGTGCTGTTCCAGATGCCGTACCCGAAGTAAATGAGCATACCTGCAGGGGACACAGGAGGACAGGCGTGGCTATGACGTCTGTGGGACCAGCGGGGAGACCAGCCTCAGTGGGGAAAGCTGGAGGTGGGCGGATTCCCTTCGGTCCACACAGCGTTTAGAAAAGATCGGAATTAGGTGCCATTTTAAAATCGGGAGATCTTGCATCAAGCAACCTATATTTACGCAGTCCCCTCAAAAAGCCCAGTGCTCTGACGACACCGAACCCCCGTTCCTACGTGAGTTTCTGGGTGGAGGTGAGAACTAGCTACCTCTCGGGATAGGATTCGGGCTGTACGGGTCACCTCTGTCCCCACGGCCTTTGCTGGCATCCACCTCATTATACTCAGCGAGCTGCCAGCCAGGAATTTGCTGCTGGTATGGCCCTCGGAACATCGGCCAGGCGATTATCTGCACAGCGTAGTTCCACTCGAGGCTGCGGAAACCTGCCACTAACCCTCCTTAGATGAATGAGTGACACTCCGGATCGAATGAGATGCCCAGTGCCACCTGAGTGGATCCCATGCCAACGAAAGGAAGGACGCTCGCCTACGTATTAACGGAAGTGCCGCAACACGGACCATTAACGTGGGCTAATGTTTCCTTTCTGTATTTTTTTTTTTTGGAATAATATTTAAAAATAGTTTGAGCACCCCGATGTTGTGCTTTGAAAAGCCAGTGAAGGTTTAGGGCCTGGAAAGCTGGGAACCACAGACGTGGAGACCACCGGACATGATGAGTAAGAGAGCAGGTGCTGGGTTCGCATCCTGTTGAGAACACGCTGTGGCTGGACCAGGGTGTAGCTGGCTGTCGTGGGGAGAATAATTTGTAGTAAGAGAGCTATGCGCCCATCCATTCTACACCTTAGTGCTTGCATAGGTATGCTTTTAAAGCTACACAGACGAGTCCAACCAGCAGCCCAGGCTGAGAACCTGACACGTCTACTCCACTGCCCGGCTGGGCCATGCCACGGCCTGGCTATAGGGATCCACCTCCGTCCGGTCTCCCACACCCTCTTCTGAGTGACACCAGCCCTTTTCACGTCACTAACCCTGCAGGCATTGCTGGGCTGTTTGCTGAGAGTCTTAAGCCAAGCGTGCTTTGCTGCTCTGGTGCTGGAGAGATCTGCTCCCTGTCGGATTCCAAGTGTGTCTTTTTAAGCTTGGATTTCTCCCTCCTTGTCTCAGATGACTGTCTCCCTATGGCCTCCCACAGCCCCCAGTGAGATCAACCTCCCAGGAGCCAAAGAAAGCAGAGACTTATAGTCAAGGACGCTCGCCTACGTATTAACGGAAGTGCCGCAACACGGACCATTAACGTGGGCTAATGTTTCCTTTCTGTATTTTTTTTTTTTTGGAATAATATTTAAAAATAGTTTGAGCACCCCGATGTTGTGCTTTGAAAAGCCAGTGAAGGTTTAGGGCCTGGAAAGCTGGGAACCACAGACGTGGAGACCACCGGACATGATGAGTAAGAGAGCAGGTGCTGGGTTCGCATCCTGTTGAGAACACGCTGTGGCTGGACCAGGGTGTAGCTGGCTGTCGTGGGGAGAATAATTTGTAGTAAGAGAGCTATGCGCCCATCCATTCTACACCTTAGTGCTTGCATAGGTATGCTTTTAAAGCTACACAGACGAGTCCAACCAGCAGCCCAGGCTGAGAACCTGACACGTCTACTCCACTGCCCGGCTGGGCCATGCCACGGCCTGGCTATAGGGATCCACCTCCGTCCGGTCTCCCACACCCTCTTCTGAGTGACACCAGCCCTTTTCACGTCACTAACCCTGCAGGCATTGCTGGGCTGTTTGCTGAGAGTCTTAAGCCAAGCGTGCTTTGCTGCTCTGGTGCTGGAGAGATCTGCTCCCTGTCGGATTCCAAGTGTGTCTTTTTAAGCTTGGATTTCTCCCTCCTTGTCTCAGATGACTGTCTCCCTATGGCCTCCCACAGCCCCCAGTGAGATCAACCTCCCAGGAGCCAAAGAAAGCAGAGACTTATAGTCTTAATTGGTAATAAATCCGGATTTAATCATTTGCAGATGTAGCTATTACTTCTCAAATAGCAGCTTCATCTTTTCAAGCATGAGTATTTACTCTTTCTGTTTGAGGGTGGGGGTAGCCATGGGGGTTCGTTATTACCCTCACACAGAGCGAGGAGGTCACATCCAGGCCTCTTCTGGAAGGCCAGCGTGCTGGCTTTCGGAGAGAGCCTCCGTCTGAAGCATGTTTAGGACCTGCGAGCGGGTTTCAGCTGATGTGGCCAGCAGGCACACCCCTCCTTTTGCACGGCTTTGCTCTTTTTCACTCTCTTTTCTCCTAGACATCCGGGCAGGTGTCAAATCTTGCCCCTACTCCTGGTCCGTATCTGTTACTCCACTTCTTTCCTTTCTGATCCCCTTCTCTGCCCTTATTTATTGGTGAGTCATTTTCCTGCT